GGTCTAGGTGGAGATGTCCTGCTTTAAAACAGAAGCAAGAATCAAATCTATAGTCATTTCTCTCTCTCTCTCTCTCTCTCTTCCTCTCTGAGAGTTACCCAAGCACTGATGATGCTTTCCAAGTTCAGATGTAGAAGAGTTTCCACTAGTGAACAAGGAGCATGACAAAAGAATGTACCCGAACAGAACCACTGGACCCTGGGGAATAACTTTTAAGGATTAGAAGGGGGAAAGAGGAGCCCTTTTGAGAGTGGTCTCAAAAGCAAGAATACAGCCAGAAAAGAACATTGCAAAAAAAAGCAAAGGAAGTAGAGAACTTTAAGAAGCAGGAAGTAAGTAAATATAAAAATACAGCAAAGGATTCCCATAAGAAGGTGACTGAACTTTTCTCATTTTGTGGGAAGGGACAGTTCTGAGGTCACTGACAACTTTAACAAAAGCAGTTTTGATAAAGTGGTGCCAATGAAAGCCAGGTTACAATGGGATTAGGGGGTACATGGGAAAAAGCCATGGGAGATTGGGAAATTATTCTTTCAAGAAGTTTGAATTGGAAAGGGAGAAGGAAAAAGAGAGGGTGTTAGCTATTATTTGCTCAGAAACCTCATCCTGTGGGACCAGAGGTAAGGGAATAAAAATAGGTAAGGAAGGGTGTGTGTGTGTGTGTGTGTGTGTGTGTGTGTGTGTGTGTGTTAGCGTTCATGATGAATGGCTTCAATTTTACCATTGAAGAAGGAGGCATGATCATTTACTAAGAGTCAGGGGATTAAGAGATTGAAGTTGGTGGGAGAGGAGGAACAAAAGAAGAATCGTGATCTCCAATCATTCCTGGAGAGGAGGTGACCATAAACAAGTCTAAGTAGAGACAAGTAGAATTAAAGTTCTACAGGAGGCCAGGAATAAAAAACCACTTTGAGTAAAGGTGACCGTGAGAATGAGGTGGGAGGGGGGGCAACTGGAGGTAAGGAAGTCAAAAAGAAGACTGTTTTCAGTGATGTTTCACATAGATGTTGAAATTTCTCAGGTTATGATAGGAGGTGGGGAAGGAGAAGGCTTTGGGCGAGATGCTGAAACCCTCGATGTGTATGGACTAACCAGAAGGTGGGAAGAGAAGAAGAGTATAAAGTGTATGGTGATGTAGTAGAGTCCCATGCACCTAAGGGCAGGGGGAATTTGAGAGAAGGAGAAAACTGTTTTTAGAGTTGCACTGGGCACTGGGAGAACACTAGTTGGTACTCTGTGGACTGATAAGCCCCGTGGTGCGGGCACAATGAAAGGGTTGGGGAAGCAGGCCAAAGGTGATGTTGACCAAGAGGGAGAAGCATGGTTGGCAAAGTGCATGGGAGATGAGGTGGTAGACCCTTCTGCACACACTGGGTAGAGAACCATCGTGTACAGTAATGACAGCAAGGTTTTGATCTAACCAACCGAAAATACTCCAACTTTGGCACCGTTGTTGCCATGACACTGATTGGCTGAAGGGCCTTGGGAGCACCCGGTTTTGTTGTCACGGAGGCTGCTGTTCACCTGTAGAAGGGCCTTCCTCTGGAGAGGGCTTGCTCTGGCTGTGGGAGATCTCGGGGCACACGTGCATCATTTATGTCTTATTTTTCAGCATGCCAATTTTTGATGGCCGGTTCAGTGTCCTTCAGACAGCCTGTGATCTTTTTCTTCTTTCTGCCTTCATTCTTGAAATTATTTCTGTTAGTCTACAAAGGAATCAGTTATTCAACTATTAAGCTAGAGCACAAATAGGCATGCTTTATATTCTTTCACTTCTCCTTAGAAACTAAGCAAAAATTGGGGTTGCATGTACTCTCAAGACACTGGAGTGTGGCTGGGAGTCAGCAGTCAAGGAGCCACGGCACGGATCCAAATGAATGCACTAAGTCTGGGGGACAAAGAAATACAGGTCTAGATAGCAGGCAACGGTTAATCCCAAACCAGCAGGTTGCTGTCATAAAATGGTGAGGCGGGTATGCATTCTTCCAGGGGCCATGTCAGAAATAACAGACTTGAGCGGTGGGCAGAACAACTTGATATGTGTGCCTCAAGCAGAACTTGTTTCTGAGACAATTTTTATAAACATCAAAACGCAATTTCACTTTGGTTGGTCTGAGACCTCAGAGAGAATTTTATGGTGAGTACCTCAGTCCAGGGTATGGGGAATATGAGCAAACGGAGATCCTGGCAGAAATTAAGCAGATTAATTCAGTTCATCTCCCTTTCCATACACGATCTGGTCAGTTCAAAAAGCTTATGCTTTTTCTGACATTTATGTATATTTTTTGACCTTTCTTTGAATAAATTATTTTGCATATCAAGTCTCTCTCTGAACACATCATTTCTAAAGCAAGATGTTATGCTCTGAATTTAAGAGTAATGTCCATTTTTCCATACCCTAGGTCTAAGCCAGACTCTGGTCACATCAGTAAGTTGTTTATCTTTATTAGCTCTAAGTTCTGAAAAGGTGTACATGTTATTATAGGCAAGGCATCCTACATGCAAAGTGGACACACTGATAGCTACAGCTTTACTCTTTATAGATTAAGCAATAATCTAGAAAAAATATCTTTGTTTCCAACAAAATAAGATTATCTTCTACCAGTTCATTTAATGACTATTTCCAACCGTCTCTAGCTTTTTAAAATGTATTCCCCCCCCCTTATATGTGCTGATTTCCATCTACACATATCTCTGTGGAGTGCAAGAGTCAGAGCAACCACACCCAGTTTGCCACCAGCATGACATAAACACTCTCATCTGGAAGAGTAATTTATGGCTTGAGAGAGGATTGGGCAAAAAGAACAAGGGAGATGAGTAGAACCAGCTAATGAGGCTGGTGGAGGAGGAGGCCTCTTGGAGTGTGCTCAAGGGAAATTAGTGCCACTGCTGGGTTGAGGGAGGACAGAAGGATGGCAGCCAAGGCTGGTTAATGGCAGACAGAGAAGCCAGTAACACACAGATAGCCCAAGTAAACCATGCCAGGAGCAGGTATTGGGAAGAGGGGGGAGAAAAGAGAGAAAAAAAAAAAAAACCTGTCAAATTTCCAACTCCCAATTTTAATGGGGACTCTGAAATAGAAACAGAGAGAGTGCATGACTTGCTTTTGGTCCTGGGCTATGTGGTAAATGTCTCGATTCTCTTTCACAACCTATTTCCTTCCTCTCCCTTCCTTTTTCCTTCCTTCCTTCCTTCCTTCTTCCTTCCTTCCTTCCCTTCCTTCCTTCCCTTCCCTTCCTTCCTTCCTTCTCCTTCCTTCCTTCCTTCCTTCCTTCCTTCCTCTTCCCTTCCTTTCCCTTCCTTCCCTTCCCTTCCCTTCCCTTCCCTTCCCTTCTCTCTCCCCATTCATGCTCTCTCTGCTCCTTTCTTCTGGCCCTGCTTCTCCATGTTGAAGAATTGTTTGATGTCATCATAGCTCCAAACCATCAATTTGTCAATACAGGAAATTGTCATTATTTTTCACAAAGGAGAAAGGGAAAGAGAATGTGACGAACATCCAGGGAAAAGCAGGCGACAGTCCAAAAAACATTGTGTCTCCAGGAAAGCAGCAGAAGGAATATCCCTCTGATCACATGTGACATCACCTCATGGAACTTGGATGATTTCTTGGGGCTTAGAACTATTTTTCCAAGATATTATAAAGTCAATATGAAAAAGTATTTTTTAAATCTGTTTTCTCCCAAGTATCTGTGGTTCGAAAGCAAACTCTTTTTTGTTTCTTAACTTTTATTCCCCTTTTTTTGGTTCTGTTCCAAAGAACACAGAAACAATCTTCTTTGGGATCTCTATTTCTTGGGTACTCCCTGCCAGTATAGCCTACATGTGGATTAAATAGATTGCATCAACAGTGTGGTTGGGAGGCAGAACAAGCAAGAGAAGAAGGGTCACGCTGTCCTAACATGAGCTTCTGGATTTCAGCTGGTCTAGCAGAATGGCAGCAATGAAGCATGATCTGTGAAGGAAATTTCCAACTAATGTTGAGGGAGCTGTCTGCCCAGTTCAAGCTGTGATAGGGACATTCCCCTTTTTGAGTGGCAGACCATGATCACTACAGGAAGCATCCAGTGGATCCAAAGGGCCACTGAGCTCTGCTTTAGTTGCTTGTTCTTAAAATAGCTCTTCAGTGAGACTGTTGAGTGAGTCTGTAAGTTTAAAGTTTCACTGATGCGAGGAAGATGAAGGTCTTTGGCTATGTATGAGCTCATAAAGGGACAGCATGCTTGTTTCCCTTTTTTATGGGCCGTACAGCATGTGTTTTTAGTAGACCTTTAATTCTGTGCATAAGTGCAAACATGATATTGCCTAGTGCTTTGAAGGCCACCAGAAAAGATACTTGTTAGGTGGCATAAGGTAGTTGGAGTTGGAGTCGTGTCTACAGATTAAGGGACTAGAAAGAAAAATACATACACAATTAACATTCTTTGCAGTTACTTTATGATATCTTTTCCTACCCATAACTCATCTTTTCTTTTTTCTCTTTTTACTTTATGTTTCCTAGTCACCATTATGTTTTTTTTTTTAAATAAGGCCCAAATTCACCATATACTGAAACAGAGATTCAGTTGGTCCTCTGATCATAATAACATTCATGCAGTGTGGCAGAAGGAACCAGGAACTGAGAGTTGGAACTTCACCATGGCCTGGGGTTAATCCTCTGGGCAAATAATTAGGACTATCATTAGATTTATCTTGAAAAAATAACCTAGATGTAGAGTGGGAATGGAGTATGGCATCAAACACCGAATATTCATATAAATAATATAGTGCTAAAAATACCGTGCTAATAATAAAATAACTCCACGTTATTTATCGTGGAGTAAATCTGCCAAATGTGTGTTAGTGCCTTTTTTTGTGATCTTCATGACAGCCTGGTCTCTGCCCCTCTGCCCCTCCAGAGGGCAATGCTGGCTGGGAGTGTCAGAGTCTGATTTGGTCTGGCTCTGCTGTTTTCTATGTACTGATCCTCAGCGTGACGTGCTCTCCTCTTGTGTGCTGTCCAGGGCATACATGAGTGTGAAGGAGCTGAAGGAGGCACTGCAGCTCAACAGTACTCACTTCCTCAATGTCTACTTTGCCAGCTCCGTGCGGGAAGACCTTGCAGGCGCTGCCACCTGGCCTTGGGACAAGGAAGCCATCAGTCACCTGGGTAAGTGAAGACCAGATATGGCAGAAAACTTAAGGGGGCCCCAAGGGACTATGCGAAGGGAGTTTGAGGAAAAAAGAAATAAAGAGAAAAATACATTCACTCCGTGAATTCACTGCCTTGGGCTGAGGATGGCTTTTGGGAGAAACTGTCAAAATGTTTAATACAGATAAGAAAGAGGTATTAGAGCAAACAGTGGCAAATACTCAGGATGTTCTAGACAAATATATGATCTCTAGGTAAATAAGTTGCTGATGTGTAATAAGATCCGTTTTACATCTTGGAGAGCCTCGAGGAGGAAATTAGCAAAGAAGTTGGCTGGACTGTAAAACCTGGTTTGCAGTCATCACTGTGCAGGAAGGCTGGCGTGCTGTGCCTATGGGTCCTCGGGATCCACGGATCCAGGATCGGGGGCCTGAGGATATCTTGGGAAATTCAGGCTGGTGGGACTTGCCTGCTTACCTAGGAAAAGGGTGACACCTTAACACTTGAACCTCTGCATTCTTAAGAAATATAATTCCTGTTACAATGTGTTATCATTGTTATGAAGGAAATCTTACTGATCAGTCAATAAGTCATTAAATCAGTTAATGTGGCTAAAAAGGAATTACTCAATAAAATTTATATGTAGAGTCTTGAGTGGGATTCTACCAAAATTTATTTTAAAACTGCATTACCATAACTGGGAGGAATCTTTCATGTTGGAAAGAGAATGACTGTAGAGACTAGAAACCATTTTATAAATGACTTGAAATAGGTTATGTGAAGTTAATCTTCTTAGTAATCATTTATGAGGCAGAGAGAAATAAATTGAAGGAAGATCACATAATGCCGTAGATGTGAAATCCATGTATGATTGGGTCATTGTGAAGTAGAGTCCAAAACAGGTTGAATTGATAATTAAAGAAAATATGAGCAAGTTGTCAAAGGACAGCTAGTATTGTGGATTGGGGAAGGTGGAAGACGAGAAGTAGGTTAGCAATAGATGAAAAAATATTGTTTGCTGCTCAGGGGGAAACCAGAAAGTGAAGATCTCTGGAGTGAATCAGGTCAACATCTAGAAGGGGTACATATCTCAAGCAAAGGAGGAGACAATAAAAAATTAAACATGGGATGGTCCAAACTGAATGCTGCGTGAGTATGCTGGGTTTCATTGACTCTATGGTATCCGATACAGTTTTAGGGCTCTGCAATCCTTGTATCACTAAATTTTATATTTGCAGCTCAGGGTACATGAGAAATCAGAAACTTGTGGGGTTAGTGCTTTCTAGATGAAAGCAAATGTGTCATTCTAGCCTTCATGGTAGGCTAGAAGGTCATATTCCAATAATGCATTTAATAATAGTGAGTTCAGAGGAACACGCAACACTGCAAAAAAAAGTATCCCCAAGTTAGTGCACACCTGATTTGCCAATGTTTAACGTTTTTGGTGTATATGTGAGAGGGTCCTGACGGCAAGGTTTACCTGGCAGTAGTTTTCATGATTCCCAGATCTATCACTGGGAACTGAATCTATGTGTTTAAAAACCTTTAGAAGTGATCTGTCTGGCCATTATGGAGACAAGTCTTGAACTCCTGATAAGAATCACTGGACTGGGAGCAGACCACCGAATGTTTTCTAACTTTATTGGAGCTGAGCCATTGACAAGATTCATTTAACTATAAAAATGGATAAAATAAGAAAAAAGTTATTTGAAGACATCAGACAACAGCCGAGACAACAAGGATGAAGGCCCAATCCCAGTGAGAAGAAAATGCATTAAAGTGAGATCTGTATGTAACTCAGTTGTTTTTTTCCATTCAGGGAAATTGCCAAATTCTCAGTGAAAGGAATAGAGGCAGAGCAGAGAGCAGCTGGAGCCTGATGAAATCTCACTACTGGGGAGACAAAAATTGGAGGTCAGGCCTTCTAAGTCATCCGAGACTCCCATAGAAATGGAAATCCCAAAAAAGAGCCTGATGTTCCGCTCAGAATTTTCTTTTAAAATATCTGCTAACTACTAACCCATGCATTCTTAGGGCTAGTGGCCAAGAAAATAAATATAAAATAACTTCTAAGAGATTAAAAAACCAAACAATGGTTTCAGGAGTCTCATAGTAGAGGGGAGAAAAAATTGGAGCTGAGGCCCTCCCTGTCAAAGAGGAGGGGCCCTGAGTGACAGAAAGAGCCCATATAATACAAAGCTTAAAATCCAGCCTGGAACACTCTTAAATCTCTGCGTGAAAGAAAGTCATTTGCTTATATTTAAATGCCTAGCAAAAGAAAATGCAATATACTCTAGAGGAAGACAGCATAATGAAGAGCTTCTACAAGTTGTTATGCACACTATCCAGCAATCAATAAAAAATTATCAGTTATGCCAAGAGACAGGACCAAATGATGGTAAATAAGCAATCGTTAATAAATACAGACTCACAGATTACCCAAATACTGGAGTTATTGGATATTGGCTTTAAGATAATTATATTAATATGTTAAAAATGTATTTAAAATGGAGAGTATATTCAGAGAACTGGAATGAATAATAATGAATTAAGTGGAAATTTTAGAACAAAAGATATAGATTGAAATTAGGAAATTAATAGGTTTGTGAGTAAGGGAGAGAATAAAAGAACTAGAAAATTGTAGAAAACATTCATACTGAAGCTCAGGGGGAAAAAGTGTTGGAAAAATATAGAAAATAACTTGAGACATGTGAGACCTGATGGAAATTTTCTAATGTAAATTGGAGATCTGGAAGAAAAAGAAAGCTATCGGGTCAAAAAAATACCAAGGAGATAATGGCTGAGACTTTTGTAAAGTGACAGAAGTTATCAAACCACAGATTCAAAATGTTTTACAAACCCCAAGAAGGATGAAATAGAAGGAAAATAACAACTAGATCCATTACAGCAAAAGTACTTACCAACCAAAAACAGAGAAAAAAAAAACCCTCATAAGTAGCTAGAGAAAAAAGGTACATTACTTTAAAAGGAGAAACAGTGAGATTCATATGCTGACTTTTCAACAGATACTATGGGGGTCATCAGAGAGCAGATATAATTTCTTAGATGCTAAAAGAAAATAACTGTCAACTTAGAATACTCTATTCAGCAAAAATATCTTTTGAAATGAAGAAAAATTTAAAATATATTCAGACAGATAAAAACTGAGATGATTTAATATCAGCAGTAAAATAATACTAGAGAAAACTATGCAAGCAGAAAGAAAATGACCCCAGATGGGAAGTAGAGACATATAAAGTGGAATGAATGATATTAGAAAGGATACAAATATTAAAAGTAATAATAAAAATGTGTTTTTGGTTTAAAATATGGGTAGAATCAAAAGATAACAACAACCACACAAAAGACAGAAAATAAATGAAGTTAAAGAACTTAAGGTGCTTTCCTTGCCTGTATCTAGAAAAGTACTGATTTTAGTAATTTTAGACAGTAATAAGTAAAAAATGCATGTTGTTGCCTTTAGGGTGACCATTAAAAGACAAATAGTCTTTTACAAGTTAAACCAGCAAGACGTGAATTGACCCAGAAAAGGCAACAAAAGGAGAGAAAATAGGAATAAATAACAGAATAAATAGAAACAAAAAGTAAGATATTGATTAAGACCTAATGTATTAGTAATGTTGAATGCAAATGGAAAAAACATATCATTTTTTTAAATAAGATGTCCCATGAAATGTTTTGAGATACCCATATGTTTTAATTTTTTAAAAATTTATTGAGTGAGAGAGAGAGGGAGAGAGAGGAAGCACGAGTGGGGGAGGGACAGAGGGAGAGGGAGTCTCTTAAGCAGCCTCCATGCTCAGTGTGGAGCCGACGTGGGACTCGATCTCACGACCATGAGATCACGACCTGAGCAGAAATCAAGAGTAGTATGCTCAACCGACTGAGCCGCCCAGGCCCCTGTAAACATACCACTTTAAAGTCAAAAAATTGGCAGATTGAAAACAAAACCCAACCATGTGGTGCTTGTAAGAGACATTTCTTAAACATGAGAACACAAAAAGACTGGAAGTATAAGGATGAGAATATAATGAAGATACTAGTCCAAAGAAAGTCAGTATAGCTTTCTTATACCAGACAAAGTAAACTTTAAGGTAGTACATATTGCCAGAGAGAAGTAGGAATATCTTATAATGACGAAAAAGTAAATTCAATTAGAAAATATAACTGTGATAAATTTGTACATCCCATAACACGCCCAAAAATATGTAAAGCAAAATTTGACAAAAAGAAAAAGAAAATAGACAGATCCAAAATCATAGTTGGTGTTTTAAAAACAATTTTCTCAGAAAATAGTAAGTAAATAAATATCTAGTAGAGGTCTAGAATATTTGAAAAATGATTAATAAATGACTTAGTTAACAAAATTAGGAAAGTGTATTTAAGCAGTGAAGAATATACGGTTCTCATGTGTCATGGAAAATTTACCAAGGGCCAAAAAGTAAATTACATAGAATTGCCATCAGGAAGTCTTTGCTATCTCATATCACTGGAAAGAAGCTAGAAGTCAATAACAAAAAAAAAAAAAAAAAAAAAAAAAAAAAAAAAACAACAACAACAAAAAACTAGAAAGTCTCCAAATATTTGGAAACTATGTAATAAACTTCTAATTACCTCATGGTTCAAAGAATAAATTGTAAGGGAAATAGGAACATATTTTAAAATGATTATGACAATAGGGCGTATCAAAACTTGTGGTATATACAAGAAGCTGTAAGTAGAGTGAAATCTGTAGCTTTATATATTAGAAAAGGAAAAATCGAAGCTATCCATCTCAAGAAACGAGCAAAGAATAACATATTAAATAAAAAATGAAGGCAGAGGAAGTAATAAAAAGAATAATGAAAAAGAGAAGAAATAGAAAGTAAACATTACTTAGAAAAAAGTTAAGTTTTTTAGGGGAGGGGCCAAGAAAAACCAATCAAAAAATAAAACACGAGAGAGAAAGAATATATTGCCACTATGAGAAATGAAAGAGGCAGTATTTTTATATATGC